GGAGGTGGAGTAGGCGTGCCGTTATCCGAATGGCGTGTGTGAGAAGTCCCCGTATTTATAAAGTCCCCAGAGAATGCAGCACGAGGGGAGGAGCAATACATTATCCCTCCCCAAATAGAGGTTGCTTGGCTTCTCAGGTCATTCCGACCCCCAGGATCCTCTCTGAATAAAAGGCACTTTCTGTTTATTCAGCGTTCAAGTCTTCCGCCCTCCCCATTCTTCCACAGAGCCATTATGTTTCTCCCGTGACATAGGCCCAGTTTGCTTAGAGAGGGTGGCGTTCTCCCTCCTTCGGATCCGGCTCAGAGGGGGATGTGGCAAGTTCATTCCCAGCTCAGATAAAACCTGGCAGGCGCCCGGACAAGGAATGATGCGTAAAAGAACGAAGGGTCTGTCTGCCCCCAGGGAGAGTTTTGCCAACTTCCGGAGAGCCAAAACCATGAGTCAGATCCGCAGAGATCATGAGGCTGGTCCCTCGCAATGACCAGATGCGTTTAGAAAGGGGCTGTGGTCTTTTTGAACTCCGATGCCCATCTTTAGTGTGTGGGAACACTGCTGCCTGTTCACACAGATTTATTGGGTTTGGGAATTCTGCTCCCCCATGCAAGTGCCGCCCCCCCCCCCAGCTACCTGTCCCCTGCCCAGCAGTTAATTCTGGCTCCAGACATCAAAATCAAACCCGTCCCTCTAGCCCCCATCAGCTTTGCCCTCCTGATCTTCCGTAGGTTTGCCAGATGGTTTAACCAAAAATACTGAACACCTCCCCAAAAAAACCACCTGAGAAAAAATTCTGTTGAGAAGAGAAGGGAGAGAGAAAAAAGGGGGAGACCAAAGTTGTCGAGGAGAAAAAAAAAACAGCATGGCCCCTTTAAGAATACCTTTGAGACTTTTCTGGCTTTAACAGGCTGCCAGCAGCCATCTTCTTTTCCTTCTCCGAGCCAGAAGACGGCTCCCCTGCGGAACCAGGTAAGTGAGGGGAGGGCTTAGCTGATGGGGGCTAGGGGTCGGGGGCTGGGCCCAGTTGCTGAGTGTGTGTAGGTTGCCAGGTGTTTGGTATTTTGCCTCCTGGCAGGGAAAAAAAATCAGAAAATACGGGACATTTTAGGTGTCCAGTATTTTCTGAATTTTTTACCGGACAGGACTCAAAAATACCGGACTGTCTGGGTCAATACCCGACTCCTGACAATGCTAATCTTCAGCTCTACCTCCTCCCCATCCTGTGAGATCAACCTCGCATGACTGAGAAGAGTGGAAAGAGATTGCTTCCTCCAGCAGCTCTGATTGGTTGCTCTGCTCTGGAAGGTGGGGCTCCGGGGTGGGCAGCCAATGAGAAAGGGGTTTTCCCCATAGGCGGGGCTTAAATTCATGTGAGGGCTGGTGCATCGGCATCATAACCACACTGGCCCAGCTCCTGCTGAGAGCATCTTAATTGGGAAGAGAAATCACAAGCGTCCGCAACGTGCTTCCTCCAGCAGCTCTGATTGGTTGCTCTGCTCTGGAAGGTGGGGCTCCGGGGTGGGCAGCCAATGAGAAAGGGGTTTTCCCCATAGGCGGGGCTTAAATTCATGTGAGGGCTGGTGCATCGGCATCATAACCACACTGGCCCAGCTCCTGCTGAGAGCATCTTAATTGGGAAGAGAAATCACAAGCGTCCGCAACGCTGGCGGGTGTTTTCCCTGCCCGCCCGCCCACGCCGGCAGACAGCCGGTAGCGACACGGTTACGACTGAGCACACAAGCACACAGCGACTGTTTATCATCACTGACGGAGGAGGTGACCGGTTTGGACGCCACGCCAGTAAATCCTGACTACTACAGGGCCCGATGGCACAAGCGCTGGGGGAAGAGACCTCCCAGCTTTCTAGATCAACCATCTCTGCAAGGGGAGTAGCTAACCGCGCCGGGGGCCTGGGTCCCAGCACTGGCGCTGGTTCACACTGGCGCTTGGAGTGTGTAGTGCTCCAGGGACAAGGAGGGGGGCGGTCCCTTTGTTCAGGGACTGTGATTCTGCCTGATCTCTTCATAGGGAGCAAATGGGAGATTGTCACCCCACCCGTGGGCACCCACGTCACACGAGCCCCGCCAGTTCAGTGCAAGAAGTGAGCTTGTCCTGCGTTGTTTTCATTTCCTCCGAGCCAGAAAGTGACCGCGCTGTGAAGTCCCCATGTAGAGCTGGCCCACCCAGATCGCTGCATGGCACAGATGTGATTCCATTTGATGGACGCCTGTCCTTGGATAGTGCCACGTATTTTAAGAGAATCCCCTAAAGGCTGCCTAAAATCTAGGTCTTGATCAGGCTGGCTGTGTGTGCTTAAAACCTCCCACGTCCCACACTGGCCTAGGACATCTGACAGACCTTCAGAAAACCCGTGGTTGGGGGTCAGTTTCAAGCGGAGTGCCCCAAGGACCGGTTCTAGGGCCGGTTTTGATCAACATCTTTATTAATGACCTGGATGAGGGGATGGATTGCACCCTCAGCAAGTTTGCGGAGGACACTGAGCTAGGGAGAGGTAGATACACTGGAGGGCAGGGATTGGATCCAGAGTGACCTGGACAGATTAGAGGATTGGGCCAAAAGAAATCTGACGAGGTTCAAGAAGGACAAGTGCAGAGCCCTGCCCTTGGGACAGAAGAATCCCAAGCATTGGTACAGGCTGGGGACCAACTGGCTAAGTAGCAGTTCTGCAGAAAAGGACCTGGGGGTTACAGTGGGTGAGAAGCTGCATGTGAGTCAACAGGGCGCCCTTGTAGCCAAGAAGGCTAACGGCATATTAGGGTGCATTAGGAGGAGCATGGCCAGCAGATCCAGAGAAGTGATTGTTCCCCTTTATTTGGCTCTGGTGAGGCCACATCTGGAGTATTGTGTCCAGTTCTGGGCCCCCCACTACACAAAGGATGTGGACACATTGGAGAGGGTCCAGCGGGGGGCAACCAGAATGATTAGGGGGCTGGAGCACATGACCTACGAGGAGAGGCTGAGGGATTTGAGCTTGTTTAGTCTGCAGAAGGGAAGAGCGAGGGGGGATTTGAGAGCAGCCTGCAACTCCCTGCAGGGGGGTCCAAAGAGGCTGGAGAGAGGCTGGTCTCAGTGGGGGCAGGTGGCAGAACAAGGAGCGATGGGCTCAAGTTGCAGTGGGGGAGGTCTAGCTGGAGATTAGGACAAACGATTTCCCTAGGCGGGTGGGGAAGCCCTGGGCTGGGTTCCCTAGGGAGGGGTGGAATCTCCATCCCTAGAGGTGTTGAAGTCCCGGCTGGACCAAGCCCTGGCTGGGATGATGGAGGTGGGTTGGTCCTGCCTTGGGCAGGGGACCGGACTCGATGACTCTGAGGTCTCTGGCCACCCTGGGAGTCTAGGATTCTGTGCAACCTTCAGAAACCTGGCTCATCCCCAGGGGCTTCATATCCTCACCTGCACAGAGAGGGTCCTTTGTCTGTTTGGATTGTAAACCCTCCGGGGGCACGGTCTGTCTCTCAGGCTATGTCTAGGCTGCAGTTTTCTTTCGGAAGAAGCTTTTCCGGAAGAGATCATCCGAAAAAATGTCTTCTGAAAGAGAGCGCCCACACTGCCAAAGCGCATCGAAAAAGCCATGTGCTTTTTCGACAGATAACGTCCCCATTGATTGGATGCTATCTTGCATGTAAGCTGTGATTGCTATGGACAGAGTGGCCACCAGGGCACCTGTGCTTTTTCCTCTTCGTGCGAAAGAACTCCCTCTTCCCCATCCACACGCGCCTTTTCCCAAAAGAGCTCTTTCAGAAAAAGGCTTCTTCCTCATAGAAAGAGGCTTATCAATGTCGGAGAAACCCCTCTGGTCTTTCGATTTTTTTCAAAAGAACACGATTTCAGTGTGGACGTCAGTGAAATGTTTTGGGAAAAAAACGCCGTTTTTCCAAAAAAACCTCGACAGGGTAAAACCTGTTGTTCTACAGAGCCCAGCACCACGTGAGAAAGCTATTGCGACACTACCACGGGGCAAAGATCAAAGCTGCACACCAGGAGAAGATCAGATTGGACACTGCAAAGTCCCTGGCATGATCCACTTGTTTAATAAGAGCCCGGGAGTCTCCGGAGGAGAACAGCTTGTTCTGTTGAGTTTTCTCCCGTTGGGCTGGGTGTCTCGGGACTCCTGCTGGTTCTACTGCTTGCAGCACACCCAGACCCCATTGCGGCAGCATCCGATCCTATTGATGGTGTAGGTACAGGCCGGTTTGCACTGTCCACCGAATTTCACACAGTACTGTGTGTCCTGAGCGACCCCGAACCCTGTGCAAGGGAAAGAAAGCGCCGTTACATCGTGCAGCTCTGTGGCTACGCTAAATCTTGCACACGTGCAAAACAAGCTCATGTGTTGCACTAAATAGGCTTGGCCCGTGTGGCGTGGCCCTTGGTAGGTGCACCCAGGTGGGGTGACAAATCTCCCATTGGCATCCCCTCCCTATGAAGAGATCAGGCTGATTCACAGTCCCGGAGCTCCTGAACCAAGCGCTGGTCCGCCTGGTCCAGCCTTTTCCGGAAGATCCCTTATTCCTGCTTTCAAGGGATCTTCTGGAATAAGGGATCTTCCAGAAAAGGGTTTATTTTCCGCAAGATCCTGTCTAGACTGGCGCTTTTCTCCGGCAAAGCCCCGAGCCGGAAAAAAGCGGCAGCCAAGTTCATGCAAATGCCGCGGGGGATATTTAAATCCCCCGTGGCATTTGCAATTCCGACTGGTCTCATTAGCATCCCTTTTCCGGAAAAGGGTGCCAATGTAGACACAGCCTATGAGTGTGGGCCAAGGCAGGTTCAAATGTTCCCCTCCAGGTGTGTGTGTGTGTCTGTTCTGTGTCCATTGGAATTCTGATGTGTTATTCCAGCTCTCTCTGGGTGAGATGTAAAGGAGGCTGATATTTGGGGGGGGAGCGGCCACCTCACCTCACTTAAATCAGCTGTAACTGTATTGTATTAGCTGGAAAGACAGCCAGGTAAAGCCGGGTGATGGCACAATCAGATGTTAAGGTCTCAAAGAAGAGGCGATTAATACTGCTATGTACAGTGAGCGGCATCAATTCTCAGTCCTGAAGGACCAAAATCTTTTCTTGGTTCACAGACTCCAAGGCCAGAAGGTGCCACTGTGATATTGAGTTTGATCTCCTGGGTAGCCCAGCCTCGAGAACTTCCCCAATGTAACGGCTACAGCAGAGTGCTTGGAAAAAACACCCCGAAGCCTCCGAAGATCGTATGAGCCAGATGGGCCACGGCACCACGCTGGGAGCTCACGGTCACCCGATTATCCACCGTGACCCCCAAACCCTTACATCGCAGCGTCCCGGCATCGCACGCCCTATCACGCGAGAACTGTATGTACTTTGCACCTGGGTGTTTACATTTCTAGGCCACCGTATCAGAACACACGTGATTTGCTTGCGCCCACGTTACTCCACCTCAGTGATCTGTACTCTTCACTCATTGCCATTCCCCCCGTTTGTGTCATCTGTAAACTTTATCGGGGATGATTTTATGCTTTGTTTCAGGTCATTAATAAAAGAAAAGTCAAATAGTTTCGGGCCAAGAACCAATGTCAGTGGGGCCCCACTAAGACCACACCCATTCATGGAGGACTCTTCATTTACAATTTGGGATCAATCAGTTAACCAGCCTTTAATCCATTTAATGTGTGCCAGGTTCATTTTATATTCGTCTAGTTTGTTTAATCAAAATGTCATGCTGTACATCGGAGTCAGGGGTGGGAAATACACTTCAAAAAATTTTGAAGTGGCCCCAGGCTGCCCCGGAAGGGGCGGGGCCTAAAACAGAAGGGGCGGGGCCAGGATGTTTCCGGGCTTCCCCACCCACAGACCATGATTGGCCCACCCCTGATCTAAGTTCATTACATCAGCACGATCACCTCTATCAACCAAATTGGAAACCTAAAAATAATAACTGAGTTCGTTTCATGGGATCTGTTTTCCATACCTCCTTGTTGACTGGCATTAGTTACATTATCCTCCTTTAATTCCTTATTAATTGAGTCCTGTTATTTATTCTTCTGTATTAATTGCCTCTCTGTTATCTTTCCCCTGGATCAATAAATCCAGATAGGGGAAAGGGCAGTTAGCCAGAGGTGTTTAGCATAGGTGCCCTACTGCTGAAGGGGGATTCCTCCTGGCAGCTCCCACAAAGCCGGTCACATCTTGAGTTCTCCTTCCTCCCAGGTGCTCTCCTTGGCAAGGCTCTTAAAGAAGCCAGATTATGTAAATAACGTAGCTGGAGTCGAGGACATACCTTAAGCTGAATTTCTCTGGTGGCCCCACAGTGGGAGGTCGATGGAAGAAACTCTCCTGTTGACTTTCCTTACTCCTTGCAACTGTGAGGAGTTCCGGAGTTGACGGGGGCGCCCTCCGCATTTGATTTAGCAGGTCCTCACTAGACCCGCTAAATCAAACACCGGAGGAACAACCTTTGCGGTGTCGATCCTCTGTTTAGTATAGACACAGATTCAATCCCACTCGTAGACAGGAGATAAGGTCCCTCTTTTGCCCTCCCCCTGACCCTGATTACGGGCAAGATCTGACTAGGAAGCAGAATCTGAAATGGTTTGTGTGTCTGGGGGCCCTTTTCTGATTTGTCGGTCAGATCTTTGGGGCGAGAGCGGATCATTTGGGGTCTGAGTTTCCTGTTCCTGAAACCAAGATTAATTGCACAGAAAGCTGGTGCGATAGCACAGAGGGCATTAGTTCCCAAATCAAAGGAGACCACGAGGGATCTATTTGGTCATGTTTAATACTGACGGAGCCAATTCTCCGGTGGGTGATACGAGCGTATCACCAGTGATATCACAGAGTACAGAATACATCCCTGTTTTATCCTCATCCCCACCAGGATCTGTGTGTGCTTTCTTCTTACCTGGGGAAGCCAAGGAGACCACGAGGAGAACCACAAGCGCAAGGCAGAAGATCCTCATGGCTGGAGATCGGCTGGGATCTCAGCAGGCCTGGAGAGAAGAGAAACAAAGAGAGGCTTTAAACATGGCTGGGAACAATCCCCGTATTTATAGAACGTTTCCCGGTGCAGAGCACGGCTCAGGGAGGAGCGTGCATGAATTGATCTTGACTTGCACATTGTGTGCCGCTTATCACCCATTCATGTCAAGGTGACCCATTGTTTCCGCTCCCAACACACACCTGCCGCCTGTTCAGTCCTGACTGGCCACTGGTCCTTCCTGCGGGACATTCACCCTGGAAGCCAGATTTGCAGGCGGGACCTACCACCTTCACATCCAGCTCCCTGTGGTCCAAGAGGATTTGAGAAATCCCACGTTTCTATCAACAGAACAATATGCATTGTGGTTGGAACAAGAACGGGGGTAGCGGACAGACTTGCCGGGCCCCTGGGCAAAGTGTGTGAGGAGGGCTGAGTCAGCATTCCCAGAAGGGGCGGGGCCTCATGCGGAAGGGGCGGGGCCGGTGCAGCCTGGAATGTGCCACACCAGGCCCTGCCCCCAGCCCTCACAGCTGCCCGGACAGCTCCATGTGGCACTCCGGCAGCGATTTAAAGGGCCGGCGGCAGCAGCGGCTGGGAACCCCAGACCCTTTTGACTCTCTGGGCCTAGGGTAGCTGCCCCCTGTGTCTCCCCTGTAGGCAGGACTTGTAGCCAGACGTGAACCCCCATTTTAACATCCATCTTCGTCTGCTTGAAACCATGCAGGGCACATAAGAGCAGGAAAACAGCATATTCTTTGAAAACCTTGGAGCAGGAGGTTTAGATATGCTGGCTCAGTGACTGTGACCAACTGTAAGCAGAGATAGGAGGGTGGTCAAACTAATTGTTGACCAAGAGGCTGTACATCGTGCCCTTGACTTAACCCATATTGATACGAACACATACCCGTCCACGGGGGGAGGAATCTCTCGCCCAACAAGAACATCCAGCAGTCCTAATTTAGTTATAATTTAGTTATCTCTCTTGCAAGTGTAAATTAAGTTGAAACTTGCTTGTAAGAACTGGCGCCACAAAACGGACCAGTAGAATTCGGCATCTTAGATAAGAAAGAGAATACGGGCCCCCAGGGGTATAAAGATAGGTCCAGCAGCGCATTCTCTTTGAGTGTCAATCTACCATCTATCTGCTGGTCGGGTTAGGTGTTTGATCTCCCGAGGTTCCAGAGGGGACGCTCACCTCGTATTCGTCTTTCCTAGGAATTGAGAGACCGGCCCTGGCCTGACACGCTGGAGTCGAGAGGCACAGAAGGGGTTAAAAATTGTACCTGGATGTGGTCCTTTGTTTAAGTATATACATACATAGTGTTAGAGCTCTTTAAAGATTAAGCTGTCACTTGGTACCATTATTTCTATTTTCTATCTTTACCTTTTTCCTGTAACCATTTTAAGATCTATATTTTGCTAATAATTATGAAATAGAGCAATAGCCATTGTAACCATATGATTTATAAGTTCCCTTAATAAACCTGTAACTGTTTAAGCTTTAACCTGACTCCTTCAGTTGCTGTAACAGAACCAAGCACAATTTAAAAGAACTTCAGCCGGTCATAAAGGGACAGACATAGGGAGAGCTTGGGCGTTTGGATCTGTGTCACTCCCAGGTGACAGATCCGTTGGGGCACCTTTCCAGCCTTCCCCAGGCTGCCCGCTGCGAAGGAACTTTGTGTTCTAGCAGCTAAAATCTACAGTGTAATAAGCTCTTCCTATATAACGGGGTGTCTGTTGGCCTGCTGGCCACCCTCTGCGACGGGACCTCGGTCCTAGCAGTAAAGTCACGGACGTTAAACACTCGGGGCTCCTTTCAGCCTTCTAGGCTGCCCGCTGCGACGAGACTTCGTGTCTTAGCAGTTGAAGACTTAGGAGACATACCCACACACACTGCCCTGACCGTCGGCTGACAGGTCTGACCAAGAAGGCTGGAAGAGATTAACCCTTTGTAGTCGTGCTGCTGGGAAATGGATGAGTCCTAACAGGATATGATCACAAGGGAGTGCGGAATAGCAGCCATCTCCAGATGTTTTCCTTTCCCGCCCGCACACGAGACAGCTAGGGCTAGTGGAAAAAAATCCCTTGAAATCTGTTCCTGGAAAATGAATCTTTTGTGGAATATTTGAAAGATGTCCATTTTCCATTCATATTTGTTAGGTTGAAATTGGTTAAAAAAATGGGGGGAGAGAGAGAAAACGATGCTGCTTTCAACCCGCAAAAATCTGAGAATGTTGGAAAAACTGAGATGCTTCGGCCAAACAGCGTTCGTGCTCTTGGCCAAAGTTTCCCAAACCCAAAGCAGTTTTGTTACCATGTTTTTTGTGAAAAAAAAGTTAAAATGAAAATATTTGGAAGAAAAAACTTTTTCTTGGCCACAAATGTGTTTCCTAACTTGCTGAGGAGATACCATAATTGTCTGGGTTTTAAATCCAGGACTCTGCTTTTGATGTATGGACAATTATCAATTGTGATGCGGCCATAGTGGGTCAGACCAAAGGTCCATGTAGCCCAGAGTCCTGTCTTCCGACAGTGACCCAGGCCAGAAGCCCCAGAGGGAGTGAACAGAACAGGGAATCATCAAGTGATCGTCCCCAGGTACCCATTCCCAACTTCTGACAAACAGAGGCTAGGGACACCATTCCTACCCATCCCAGCTAATAGCCATTGATGGACCCAACCTCCATGAATTTATCCAGCTCTTTTCTCAAGCCAGTTATAGGCTTGGCCTTCACAACATCCTCTGGCAGGGAGTTCCACAGGTTGACTGTGCACTGTGTGAATAAATACTTCCTTTCGTTTGTTTTAATTCTGCTGCCTATACATTTCATTTGGAGGCCCCTGGTTCTTGTGTTATGAGAAATAAATAACACTTCCTTATTTACTTTCTCTACACCAGTCATGATTTTACAGACCTCTATCATATCCCCCACCCTTAGTCATCTTTTCTGATCATTTTCCAATTCCAAGAGATCTCTTTTAAGATGGGGCGATCACATTGGCACAAAGTATTCAAGATGTGGGCACATCCTGGATGTAGATAGAGGCAAAATATTTTCTGTTTTTACTATGCATCCCTTTCTGAATGATTCCTGCCATTCGGTTGGCTTTTTTGACTGCTGCTACGCACGGATGGGGCTGTTTTCAGAGAACTACCCACGGTGACACCAAGATCTCTCTCTGGAGTGGTTACAGCTACTTTAGACCCCCCCCCCCTTCCTTTTTAATGAACTCCTTTGTCTTAAGAGTGTGGAGCTCTGATTAGGGTTCCTAGGTGGCGGCAGAAGACAAAAAACTATTCCACAAGGCTTCGTCCAGACTGCCGACAGGAGCGGGAAGTGATCCGGGGACTATCAATTCTCCACTGTAGTTCTTTTTAAGGATGCTGGATGCTTGCCTCAGAGCTGTCCACTCCAGCTCCATGATGACAGCTCTCAGGACCCAGGCCGATTTCGAGACAGCTGCTGGATGGCTATTGTGCTGGAAGGTGGGCGTGGCTGTCATCCTCCCCAAGCCTGGGTGAAAAGTCTCAGGGGGGGAGGGGGCTCAGTTTTCAGCCTAAATAGAAGGATCCATTTCTATACATAGCTGGAAGGAGTAGGAGGCTACTGCCCAAGGCACTAGGGCACTGTTTCTTAAACTTTTTAAGGCCAAGGAACACCAAACAATATTTGTTTTTTATGAGGAACACCAAGGATGTTTTGTCGAGCCAAAAAAAAAAAAAAGTGCCTGCTCCTTTAAGAAAGGCCATTTTTAACTCTTGTTCTCCACGGCACACCTCCGACTGCCTCGCAGCACACCAGGGTTCCCTGGAACACTGTTTAAGAAACACTGCACTAGGGGACATGACAAAGGCTGGGCCGCCATGCCACGTGATGCTCTCAGGGCATTCTGTAGGGCTGCTTGCAAACCGGGGTCAGGAGATTGACAGGTGATGGGTGTCCCGCCAACAGGGGTCTCTTGTTCTCCACGGCACACCTCCGACTGCCTCGCAGCACACCAGGGTTCCCTGGAACACTGTTTAAGAAACACTGCACTAGGGGACATGACAAAGGCTGGGCCGCCATGCCACGTGATGCTCTCAGGGCATTCTGTAGGGCTGCTTGCAAACCGGGGTCAGGAGATTGACAGGTGATGGGTGTCCCGCCAACAGGGGTGGTGGGGTGGGACAAAGGGCACAGTAGCCTCAGGGCCCAGTGATTCAAAGGGGCCCCGCCGGAGCCCTGGGCCCTTTAAATCACTGTGGGAGTGCGGTGCACTCTGGGTAGTGCTACGGGCTGGGGATTGTGTTCCGGGCGGTGCTCTGGGCTGACCCCGCCCCTTCTGCCTGAGGCCCCACCCCTTCCAGGAGCGGGAGCCGCCCACCCGCTACCTTGCCCCGGTGCCCAAGGAGATGCAAGGTGCCCCGGTGCGTGAGGGAGCAGGAAGCCACCAGACAGGGAGAGACACGGTTGTGAGGGGCCGGGAGAGGGAGCACCGGGACAGAGCTCCCGGCTCGAGCGGCAGGCTTAGAAATTCTGAGCCAAGCCCCTCGTGGCTCCTGCATTCAAGGGAGCAAGGTTTCGAGTTCATTCCTCATAAATCCACAGGGTTGCAAACAGACCAAGGCCTGACTCCATCACCCATGTCTCCTCCTCATTGAAACAATCCTTCAAGGCCCCAACTATTGGCTAATGCAGGGGTGGGCAAAATCAGGCCCGGGGCCCACATCCAGCCCTCCCAGCATTTCTCTCAGGCCCGCCCCGCTGAGTAGCAGAGGTGCAGACTTACAGCTGGCAGCCTGTGTTCAGCTGCTCCTCCCTCCACCTGGCTCTGCCCTGCAGCCCAGCTGCTCCCAGGATTCTCCTGCGGTGCGAGGGGATGGCGGGATGGAGGGAAAAGGGGAGGGCTGAAGTCATCTCTGCAGAGCAGGGGTCGGGGAGAGGCAGACACAGGGCAGAGCTGTTCCAGTCTGAAGCATGGATGGCGAGTACACACACACACACACACACACACCAAAATGCATCTCTGCAGAGTGTGTGGAAGGGGAGACAACAGAGCGGGACTGATTTCCCTTTCTTAAAGAGACAGCGCGTGGCTTCTCTCAGAAACTTGCCCAGCAGCAGCCAACACACACACACAGTCTGTGTCACAGTCACACACACCCAGTCTGTGCCCCACTGTGTCACACACACAGTCACTGCCACACACACGCACACTGGCACACACACTCTCCTCAGGCTCTGTGCCCCACACACTCAACCTGTGTCACAAAGTCGGTCTCTCACACACAGTGTCTCTCTTTCACACTCACACGATCTCTTTCCCACCCTCTGTCGCCCCCCAGCCCCGCCTGAGGTCCTGCCCTTTCTGAGAGGCCCCAGAGCCGGCCCGTGACCA